TTTTTTTATAGGTTAATTAAATTATCAAGTTATAGGTTATGTTATATGGTTATAGTATAATATACCTAATATATAATACAGTATACCTAATATTAGGTTATGTTATACTAAATTTCATATACTAAAACAATAATATTCTTAAATTTTAGAATAAAATTGATTTTTTTTTAAATAAATACAACCAAAATCAAATTACGTTTTAATTAATTGAAAATCATTAAAATTTGTCATCTTTAAAATTAATTATTTAATACAATTTGAACAAACAAACAAATAACGTGAGAATATAAATAAATTTATGTTACATCCAATAAAATAATTAGATGTGTCATCCGAGATAAATGTTATATAATAATTAACAAAAAAAAACAAACAATTTGCTACTAATAATCCAAACGAACAAATAAGATTTGACGTTACGAATCGTTTAATTTATTTTCGTTCGTATCGACAAGATAATAATTGGTTGTTGGTTGCAAACATAGAAAAAAAAAAAGAGAAAAAGAAAAAAAAAAGAAGAAGAAGAAGAAGAAAAAGAAAAATCATGGTAGGAAATAGAGACGATCGATAATATTTCTAATCACCTGCAATAGGTGCGCCTACAGCTGCAGCCACGCCTTGAAACAGTAGGAGTAATCCAAATGCGTTTGTCAACTTCTCCAGTCCTAGAAGATCTACTACGAGGATTGATCTTAACGATGCGAACACAGCTACAAATTTTGAAAAAAAAATTATTTTTTTTTTTTAAATAAATAATTAAAAAAAATAAAACAAAATAAAATACAAAATAATTCAAATAGGTATATAAACAAATGATTTTGTTTCAAAACTTTGAACAAATTAAACCAAATTATATCAATTCGTTTTTATTTTATAATTCATTATTATTATTATTATTATTATTATTATTAATAATATTATTTGGTTATTTTAGAATTTAAATCAATAATGAATTTTAATTATATAGGTTATGTTCTAAAATAAAATTATTAGTGTTTTAGTATATAAAATGTAGTATTAAACAACAACAACAAAATACATAACCTATAATATGAAAATTTAATTAACCTATATATAAAATTTAGTATAAAAGAAAACATAACCTATATATTTTACAAAATATTATTATTCTTAATATTATTAATTATTATTAGTATTGTTATAAATATTATTTGGTTATTTTTCGAATGGAATTCATAATTTATTTTAATATTTTTGAAAAATATACTTACATATGCTTAAACCAAAACACGCAGCGTAGAAGAATTGATATCCTTCAGTTAAGGATAATCCTGATAACATTGTTAATAATCCACCAAGACTGATAAATATATTATTAACTATGAGAGCATCAACACCCGGTATACTACTAGCAAGGCCGCAAACTACACGACCTACGGTATTTCCTATACCGATAACGGAAACTAGAAACATGGCTGAAGATGGTTCTATTCCAGCCATTTTGGCACGATCTTAAAAACAAATGAAATATTTATTTAAACTATATTATAGATATATATATATATATAGATATTTCTACAATTGCATAAAAGAACAAACAAATTCTTTTAACACAAATATACAAATAGATGTTTATGAATTTATTTATACAATAATTTTTAATGTATTGCAATAAAAAAAAATA